ACTGCAAATCTTTGACTCACAGATATTTGATGACAATAAGGGAAAGATGACGCAGTTTCGAAATGAAAAAGTTGACAGTAAAGTGAGGTAATTAATAAACTTGTTGATTAAAAAGCTATTATCTAATACAAGACGGCTGCGCCACCGAAGTGATCTCGTCATTTCAACAATCATCAGTCACGAATTCGGAATTAACAACTCTGGAAATGATTATAGGCTAATTCGGTAACGCATAAAATGAGGATACCATCATCCGAGCTCATTCCGGTCTGCTCTCTTAGGATATTATTGAGCATCGGACAAATTGATCTGATATGATAGTGTAATTTCATTCATCAAAGATGTTTGCTTAAGACGATCATGGAGAGGTGCATTCAAGAACGATGGACTGTCACTTCAAGTCGGTGAACCTCAGATCTGATTTAATTCAGCATTCATTGCACTCTACAGAATGCTTTTTAATTTAAAAAGTAACGTTAAATAAATTACTTCCTGGAAGAAAGGGCACCTTATCAATCGACTGATAAATTATTTCTGAAATGGCTGTAAAAGAAAAAAGAACTGAAGTTAGAAATAGTAATGACGAATAGTTTAACCTTTACGCATGATTGCTTGTGACTTCCCGTCGACTTTTTGAGCCTTTGGCTTTTGCCATCCCACAGCATTCTGCGTTGGGAGGGGAATGTGAGTGGCAATAAAAGAAATACGTGGAATTTACTGGTAAGTTCCGTGAGCGAAGACTGATTTGACCTACAAAGTTCGCTGGATGACTATTTATGTGCAAGCTGCTTAAAAGAGGATTCATGTAGCCGTTTAAGGACAAATTTCAAAAATTGGACAAAATTTATTGTACAAGATAAGAGAATTGTTGAATGCTTCAAAACTCATCTTTACAATCCTCTACTCGACAGTACCGTAAAACCACTGTGACAAACTAGATCCGATGACCAACTGAAAGAGGTGTCGGAAAACGCAGGCATTTCTGTACTGCATTGCTCCTTCTGGAACAGGAGAAGTGCAGCAGAAATGCTGTGTCTGCTTGCTCTAAAGGGTTAAGCAGCTTCTCATTGTTGGAGTGTACAATGTCAATTAGCAAACTGCTTGATCCGCTTCATTATCATCTTTTCAGTCGGAAAGGAACAGATCAGTACTGCAATATCATTATTGTTCTCATTCACTGCTACCTTTGTTGCGACTTTCAAATCGCTTCCAACTCATCGCGATGCGTGCTTCGACATATTCTGCGACATCCTCTCTTTGACGCCACGTTCTTCCACACAATTAGGACGCGAGAAACATTGAAGGGCAGTATTTACAGTTTCGGGACAGCGCAACACATATTTTCCGTTATCTGAATTAAAAATGATGTCAATAATAATTTTAATCTTTGGAATTTAAGGAATTTTCAAACTTTTTGAAATTCTGCTGCATATTTCTATTTAGGAGCAAGTTCCCGTGAATGGGAAGGGAGAATGGTGATTGAAATTTGAAGACGCAGCTGCGCTTCGCACCATCTCCTCCGCAACGCACACTGTAATCCAAACTATTGAAAGTTTTCTCTTTTTTTATTTAGAAGTAGTCGTTGGAGGAAAACGTCTCGTAGTGACAGCTGAGACAGCGAATATGCACGCAACGCAAGTGTTAGAAGCCATGAACACACGTAAGTGCGTGTGCTCAGAAGAGTAAGTAGCTCACATTTCCAAGTACATAATTAACAGAGGAAGAGCATAGGATGCCGGATATCAGAAATTCACGTTTGCATATGAGAATTGAAATGGACGAAGGAACTTTGCGTAAGAAAAAGTACAGAAGCAAACCAAATTACCCACAAAATTTTTCATTCGAGAATTTCATCGGAAAGTATGGAATCAGAATTAGACAAATCGAAGCATATTAAAAGAACCAATGTAGTTGAATGGAAATTTGTGGTTCATGACCCGAGCACGAACTGAAAAGAAATCGAATTGGAAACTATAAAGTTCGATTGCAGTTGATCACATCAACAGCAAAGAAGTGGTGCCCGAGGTGAGGTTCGAACTCACGACCTTCAGATTATGAGACTGACGCGCTAGCCGACTGCGCTACTCAGGCTATCAAGCAGTTCCATTGGGAAAACTCTTTTATGGTAATAAGGTGGCAGAAGGCTGGAAGAGTGAAAAGACCGGAGAGAAGAATGAAAGGTCAACGCTGAGGTCAGATAAGTGAATATCGTAATTCGATTAGCGCTTTGATGGTTAGCATCATTGAAATGAATGATGAAGAGTTGGCACTTTATCGTATGACAAAGGATATTTTATTAATAAACATATTTCAAAAACTTTCTGATTTTATCTTACATCTCTGTTTCATTTTTTCATTTAAATTTATTGAAATAGCTTAAGAACTGGACAAAGATATCTGTCTGCACAAAGCTGAAAGCATTGAAAACGTTAAATCAAAGAATTCTCAATGGTAAGTATGAAAATGAACCTTTAGTGCCTTAGTTGTGCATAACCAATTAACCTGTCAACTTCAACAAAATTCAATCTATCACATTCACAGGATTTTATTTCCGTTTGTTAAATTGGGCTTAACTCAAATGGCATAATTATTTGATTTTCAATGCATGTTTCTAGAAAACTGGCAGATGAAATTATCGTGCCGTTCAGAAAAACCTTTCTAACGTCGAGAATGAGCGATTTCAATTCAACATAACTTCTTACTTAATTTTAGTAACAGATAATGAATATTGACAAACGACAAATAGCTAATTCATAATGTTTAGTGCATCGGATCAGCTAAGGTAACTCTCTCATTTCAAAGTGTTTTGGATGTATTTTCCTTCTTTACGTTCATGTCATCGCAAGTGAGAAATAAAAATAGCGCAAAACATGCAGCGCAAATCGCGAAATCTCTTCATGCATGTCGTGTGTTTGCATGACTTGCATGAAAGAACTGTCGTTGTGATATCAAATTATTCATGTCAGCTGAGATTTGTATCACTGACAGTTAAGCTGAGGAAACTGTATACAGTAATTTGTCTCTTTTTGACATTTAAACTGTCATCAATAATGTGTCATTGTTAACTTTAATTTCTTATCATACGACTTCTTTGTCTTGGTTTAATTCATTAAGAGGTTGTTTATAACATTTTTATCATTAATTGCTTTATCTCTTATGAAATCGATGCAGCTAACAACACAAAGCCCTTTGTCCTCATTGCTTTTTCATACCCCAAATTGATATTGTCCTGACCCTGGTAACCGATCATCTAC